CCCCCCCCCCCCCCCCGGACAAAAAAAATCAAAATGCAACCAGTTGGCAAAAGTCGGCAAATTTATGTCTGTACGAATCGGAAAATTGGTATAAACTGGGAAAATGCAAAAAGATTAAAAACTATGAAAACATTTAAAGCATTAGCTACCGACTAACATGTATCTGTACTAAAATGAAATAATCTCCCCTACCACGCCTGTCTGATGTCTAGCTCATTTTCTCGGCAAATGTGCAATCAACGGCGAAAACAGCAAGCTATTGTAATCTTATCTCTTATGTGAGTGAAATTTGAAATCCGTGTTTTCAAGCAACTACCAAGCATGCTGTCTGTTTCGACTGCTTTCATCAATAAACATGAGCAGCTCTAAACTCAAAAGAAAGAGAATAAAACTCGAGTGTCTGGAGTGTCATTCGGTTTTTTATGATGATTACCGCAAAAAACACGAACAGACTTGCCACCAAGGAAAACGAGTGCGAGTAGCGCATAAAGGCGCACCAGCTAATCCATTCCTAGCAGCTGCTGCGAATGCGAATAAATCAAAGTCTTTCAATCTGGTGAAAAGGTGCAAAGCAGTAAAGAAAACGCCGAGAACCAGGAATACATCAGGGATGCTTTTTGCGGAAAAGAAGGGGAAGATGGTAAGTCGATTAATGGTTCAGCCTATTCTTTAGTGCTTCACAGGTATCGCAGCTTTAATAACAGCTGTTGCGTCGACCACTTGCCACTTGGTCTGTGCCACGGAGGTGTGAATCCAAGATCGTCTTTCGGTACTCGAAACACACGTGTTATAGCGTCGTGCTACATTTAGGAACGTTTACTCAGGTTTTTTAAGTTTTAGCAGCAATCTTACTCGCTAAATTTAGACAATCTTTTATTATATAGCATTTTGTATTCGTATTTCGTTGTAATCTCTGCCTGAATAAAATAGCCATTATATAATGACAATAATGTTGAGTCGTAATGTTGCACTTGCCACAGCGTTTCGTTAAGCGAGCGTGAATATATTCCCTATTCTTGCTTTCCAAAACGAAATTGATGGATACTGCACGTGGGTAGTTCTGGGCGCAGATTAACGATGTGTAATGTGTCCACTACTCGATGAGCGAGCAGAAAGTTTGGTCACCTTCGACTAGTGAGCAGGAAGTTCAGACACTTCAGGCAAACACAAATTGGCTATGAATTCATTATTTAATAAAACTTTTTCCTAGGTTATGCCCAATTCCATCCACAAAGAAGTGACATAATTGATGCAAAAACGTCCCATACAAGCCAAGAGCCAAAATCACCAATCTCGGTTATCTCTACAGGAACACTAGATTTAGACCCCAATGAGAAAATTAACAATTTTTCCCAATCTGAAGTGATACCATGTGACTATTTTGGTGACCTTGTCGAAGAAGAACTCCGTACCACATCCTTAAATCAGGGCGATTTCAATTCTGAAAATGAAAATTCAAATTCAGACACTGAAGATTCAGTTACCAAAACTATTAAAGATTCAGTCTCCGAGTCTCAGAAATCGAATCTGCTGCAAGTCTGTCTTGTATCAGCAGTTTAATGAATGGTTGTCAAGAAATGGTAAATGATGCAAGAACATCGGACATTCCTAATGTTGAACAATGGATTGTAGATGCACAGGACACTATCAAACAGGTACAAGAAAGCTGCGGTAGATTTCTGAAAAACACTGACAGCTTAGTTCATCAAATCGAAATGAAGAAACCCAAAGTTAACGACGCAAGCTCTTCTCAGGTGTCTGTAGAGCATGATCCAGGCTTACGCAGTGAGGTCTGCGGAGAAAACCAAAAGGAGTACCTAATTTCCCAGCCAATCAAGATATATCTCAGGGGAAACAGAATCGTTTTTCGCCACGATGGTATAACGAGCACCCACACTTAGAATACAGTATCAAGAAAGATGCTGTGTTTTGTTTCGTATGCTCGCTATTCCACGACGCGCCCTCAAAAGAGAAGGCAGACGCAAGTTGGATAAGTACGGGAGTAAGAAAATGGCACAAGATGAAGAGTGTTGGAAAGAACAAACAAGGAAAACTGGCTCAACAATTCTCGTCGCAAAGTCACAAGGCTTCTCTAGCAGCATACTGCCACTACTTAAAGAAGACGAAACGTGTGGACATCCAACTGGATAAAGCAAAAAGGGCCGCACAAATCCAGGAAGCCGAAGACCTTGAATACAACCGTAAAGTCATCCACATCCTTTTGGACATCGCAAGAACACTTGCCCGGCAAGCTCTTCCATTCAGGGGTGACAGTAACGAAGAAGGCAACTTTTACCAGTTGGTCCTATTGGTTAGTAGACATGTCCCAAGTCTTCGTCGGTGGATAACTGTCAAAAGGATGAATCCCTACCACGCCACCTATTTGAGTCCTCAGTCGCAGAACGAGTTCATCGCTTTACTCGAAGCAGAACTGAGAGAAAAAGTTGTGGAAGAAGTAAAGAGTGCAGGGATGTTTTCTGTGATGGCAGACACAACTCCTGACGAAGAGCACACGGACAGACTTTCTGTTGTTAGGTACGTCAGTGACGCGGGAAAGCCGACCGAAAGGCTGCTTGATGTAAGAGAGACTCCTGATAAGACAGGTCTTGGTCAAGCGAAAGACATCCTATCTACGATAGAGCAGTGTGGGGTGGATACCGATGACCTATGCTTTCAATCATACGACTTTGCAGCCGCCATGTCTGGTGAGTTCAATGGTGCTCAGCAGAAACTGTCCGAAATTTGTTGGTCGTGATATCCCATACATACCATGCCAAGCACATCGCTGTAACACTGTGATCGAGCATAGTTGCAACGCGAGTGTCATCGTCCGTTAAATGTTTGACATACTCCAAGCACTTTTTGTTTTCTTCACATCGAGTACAAAACGTTTTCAACCATTGAAAGCGGAAATAACCAAGGTTGAAAACTGTTTAATGCTTAGAAACTTGTCCAAAACGCGATGGAGTGCCAGAGCAGAGAGCATCCAAGCCGTCTGGACATCATTTGATGTAATCGTGGATGTACTACAGCTTATCACCAATAAAGCAGATCACCAATAAAGCAGATCAACAAACCCAAACGCAAGCAATGGGCTTAAGGAAAAGAATGCTTTCGCTTGATCTTGTTATTGCGCTAATGTTCATGAAGAACATTGCATATAAAACAAAACGTTTGGTGGTTCAGCTCCAAACAGTTGAACTCAACATTCTGGATGGGACTAGCCTTGTGGAAGCTACCTTGAGTATCATGGAGAAAATACGAGCTGACGACAAAATGATGGACGATCAGATTGAATCATCCCTAATCTTCGCCAGAAGCCTCGGCATTGTTCCAGAAAACGATTTCAACCGACATCACCGTCCACCTAGACGTCTAGAGAGGCCCTGAAGAGCACCTAGACGTCTAGAGAGGCCCTGTTAGGGTTTTAGGATTACGGATTATTTGGCATTTTTGGGCAGGATTACGGATTATTGCTGGTAAAAAAAAATTATGGATTATTTGAATAAGATTTTAGGATTATTGATATGCAAAGATCATCTATAGTTGTCACCAGTGGCGTGCTGGGTACTCTTTTCTGGGGGGGGGGGGCAGTGGGCTATCAACTATTATGCACCCCTATATATTGCAATGCTTGATAAATGAGGGCCGAAGACACGAACCGCAAGTGCAGCAGGTGCGAGGTATCTCTATAGGGGGTCCAGGGCCATGCCCCCTTGGAAAATTTTTGAATTTAGGGTCTCTGAAATGCCATTTCCTGGACTTTGGGGGGAAGGTTTGACAGAAATCTGATGGTCAGGAAACATCATTATAATACGTGTTGAAACTATTCTCTACTGATCTAGTGATCTGAATACATATTTACAACTTACAGCTCTTTTATACAATAACACAAGGACCCACGCATATGCATTTTAAGGTTACCTTGCTTGGCTGCCAAAAGGATGCGTTTCAGCATTATCTTTAGTTATTACTTACATTACTCATGAGTCATAATGTTTCTTGCACAAACAACTAAATTGCATACACAACTTTACATTATCATAACTATCTAATTTGCGCCGCTCTCGTGATTCATGAAGCAAATAAAGGACATAAAAGAAGGGCATAATACCAACAAAAAAGGGCATAATTCCCATGATCGCTTTGAAACCTGACCAATATTCCGGTAATGAGACATTGCGTGTGATCACTGATCATGTTTCTATATGAACGATTTTGTGTGAGCCGTGAAGTAGTAAATTAGCAAATACGGTTAGACAAAATAGTCGGTAATTTAATATATCACATTGTCGTCTATGCGCTTAGTCTGTTTATAAGCCTATAAACACATCTTTTCTTAGCGGAAGTAACTATATTTTTTCAAATGTGTTTTTCCCACCCACTTTCAAAATTCTGCGCAGGATCGGCGCCCTCTTTTCATTTTTGCGGCCCCACGAAGTGCCAGCTGGGGGGTGGGTGGCCCCCGGCCTCCCCTGCCAGCACGGCACTGGTTGTCACTCACAACTTGTTGACAAATTGTTGATATTAAGTTGTTGGAAAAACTTGTAACAAGTCTGTTGAGCTCAACAACCTTGTAGCAAGTTGTCAACAAGCCGTTGACAACTTGTCAACAAGCTGGGAACAAGCAGTGTGACAAGTTGTTGTTAACAAGTTGTTGGAACAACTACTTAAGTCTGCTGCAGGTTTGTTACAACTTGTGCGTTTTTACGTGTGTATATGCATGAATCACACGCATGAATCACTCGAGTGTCACTTGATCTCACGTGGAATAATTTGACTGTTCACATTTATTTAAATTATTAAAGGGATATTTTTGTTTATAGAAATGGGATACGGATTATTTTTAAATTTTTGCTAGGATTATTCAGACACCCCCTAACAGGGCCTCTCTAGATGAACAAGCCTTAACGGTAGCTGTGGTTTCTCTGCGAGAGTTCTACAGAAAGCAGTTTCGAGAGGTCTTAGATGCCCTTACTTCACGAATGGGTGAACATCTAACCCAATGAAAGAAGAGCCTTCTGCCACTGTTGAAGTGCCTTAAACCACCATTCGATGGAACGTGCATTCATTCTGCTGTCTTGCTATTCCCACAATCACAGACGCCTAATCCATTAGCGCTTGAAGCTGAACTACAAGTGTTAGCCGAATTATTGCCAACCGATGTTGGTGATGATTACAGCAAAGTAGTTGAACTCAGCGAAGCTAACAAGTCGACACTTCCGCTGGCAAACTTGGCAGTCCGGTTGATGCTTACAGCTCCTGTAACGGTGGCGTCAAATGAACGCTCATTTAGCAACTTGAAATTTGTTAAGAACAAACTGCGAACATCCATGGGCGACTCAAGACTGGCAGGCCTCATGCTCTTAACCTGTGAGAAAGATTTGACTGATACTCTGGATGTTGAAGCAATTGCAAGAAAGTGGAGTCTGTTAAAAAAAGAGACGAGTCGTCTTATACTAAACAAACATCTTTAATTTACAATGAATAGATCGCGAACAAACCATCTCCCATTATTGGTATTAAAGTAAATATCGACTATATGCTTATAAATCCGCTTACAGTCGTGCTTGTATAGAAATATTCTAAGTTTGTAATTGTAACGATATATCCATACTACTTAGTATTTTATATTTACAATGAATTGATGTTTTTAGTAAGAAATTGCTACGAATTCACAGACACTAAAAGTTAACAAATTTAATAAAGATCATTTACATTTTCGAGAAAAAGCTCGGCATATTGCGTAATTGTTACTCGGCAATTCCACGTTCAACACCCCAATCGACATCCCCGTGCAACGGCCCCGAATTTATACATCTCCTTTGCATCAATTTAATCCTTGTGTTTCACCAGCTGTATATCACAACATTTGCGTCCTTGTTGTATAAGATATGAAATCACGGTTTGCTTATACGCTCATATGCTGTACAGTTAATGCAATTTTTTTAGATTGCGTCGCTCATGGACGTACTTTTAAACAATCGGGATGACTCTGATGAAGCAACGGCAGCTTTCGACAAAGCGTTCATCACTCTGGACAATAGCAAGGTAACTAAACTTTGGTTGGTTTGAACTACTCGCCGAAAAAGATCGAAAAGGCAAAGGCTTTCGTTTGGAAATTAGTGTAGTATCCTCCTACAAGAATTTTAATATTTTTTTACAAAAATTTTAATATTATTAATATTAAAATTCAATATTAAATAATTAAGTAATTTATTAATTAATAATCACTTCATATTATTTTATATTATTTTTTTACAAGAAGTTTAATATTTTTTATTCATTATTTTCTTTTGTTTTACCGAATACGAAAACAATTTATTAGTTGGATTCAATATTTTGCCGACCACCTGATGACTGGGGAGGGGAGGAGGGGGTCGCCCACTTAAGGTAATTTTAGGCGACAGGCACTTGCTCAAAACGTTCAAATTTTCCGCTAATCTTTCTCAGGTATTTCAGTTTATTATTCCTTAAATTGTGGGTTTATAAGCAATAGATGAACATGATTTTTCCCTCTACTTCGTTTCTTCAGGTGCAGCTTTACTTCACAGACGATTCCGGTGTTATGAGTGGTGTAGTTTTAGCAGCAAAACGCAAAAAGAGCAACCACGCCGTATACTTAGTTTTCGTTATAGATTAACATGGATGGACGAAAGACTTTTAAAACACAAAGTAGCTGTTGTAACTTTTACATGTTACAGGTAGTTGATTTGAGGGTGGCTTAATACCGTAGTTTGTGTAGATATGGAAGTAAACTCGTATTTCTTAGGGGCCGATTACATGGAGCACTTTCCACCCCGGGGTCAACCTCGTATCCAGGCTCTTTCCACTACGAGGCGCCTAGTGGAAAGAGCCTGGGTACGAGGGTGCCCCAGGGTTGAACTCAGCCCTGCAATACGTTTCCGACATTGATTCCCGGAAGTAAAATGCGGTTCCATAGCCTTCATTTTGTTTTCTTGTAATAGTCCGTACCGCACTAGGCTACAATCAGGACTGCAACATATGAGACAACCGCATAAATGCCCCCCTCACCCCCAATTCAATGTTGTGTGAATGACTGAAAAGAGAAAATTCACTTTTCCATCATTGATCATGGGGGCCGGGGAGTGGATTTTAAAATGGCCAAAATCTCATTATTTTTGCACGTGTTTGCATGTAGGCTCTATTTTACAAATAATAGCTTCCCACAGCAAAGGTTATATTTAGTATCCAATCAAAATGTCGCAGAAGAAATTTAAATTTGACACAACGACAACAAGAATCTAATTATAGTTGCGATTATTATAAAATATATCCATAACAATAGTATAATCTAATTAGTACCAACCAGTCAAATGACAAATTAAAAAATCTTCTGTCTCAGACCAATCAGATTTACAACCGAAATATGGATTTATGCGCACGAATCGTACGCAAAATTCCCATTGGTCCGTACTATCACTGACTTTACAAATATCCGGCTCGACTTTCTCGTTGGCTGGTACTTTACTATTCCTTTCGTCCGCCCACTCTTTCCACACACGAACTGCCCATGCTGTATTTATGCTTCGTGTTTTTACGGGATTCGGGTTTTCTTCATTTTCTGTAACTCTTCGTCGCTAACAAGTGATATATTTTTTGCATTTTTGACTCGGTAAAGTTTCTTTGAGATCTTCATCTCTTTTTGTACCTATCTGTTCGCTAATTTAGTTAAACAATAAGTCCGCATAACTCCCAGTATTTTCCTTCACAAATTACACTGAACAACAACAATTTCTATAGAAATTATATCTTAAATTATTCTTTTGAGAAAACCTCCTCAATCATGAAATAAGTCAGTTAAAGCCCTCGAACCTCGGCTGTTAGCCAGATGCAGCCTTCGGGCTTCGCCCTCAGGCTGTATCTGGCTAACAGCCTCGGTATTCGGGCTTTAACTCTCACTTCCCTGAACACACTCGTGCCAAATGACCTCATTCGCCGCTCCGAAGTTATTTTGCGTACACCCATCATATACTGCTTACTTCGCTAACATTGAAAGCTTGTTCCACTAGAATATAAAATTCAATTGCCCCTCGTGTATATCATATGAAGGTTTCCACGGCGTAAACTTGTGCTGGAAATGCAGACTTATTCATGGCGGATTAGCGCTGCCGCTGCTCAAATTGATTTAAATTTTGGCAAACCCTGTCCAGCAATAGGCAATTCCAGCTTTTAATTTATGCGCGCAGGGGGTGATGGGAAGTAAGGTATCATATTGCTGATTATGCTGAAAATTTTCAATAAAAACTACCGAAACAACCGAAATATTTACAAGTATAAGCTACCACTCCGTGTTTACACGGGCACCATTTTTATTTTATCAGCATAATCAGCAACACAATACCTTACTTCCCATCACCCCCTGCACGCATAAACTAAAAGCTGGAATTGCCTATTCCAGGGTGCATGACTGTTGTCGATTTACAAGATATATCTTTAAAACGTCAAATCGTATTGCCATTCCCTCTACACAATCTGGGTCACCAAGGCTGGCTGTCTAATCGCCATATTATATCCTCAATAATGTTCAGTGCACCAACTATTTCATGATTCTCACCATTATTCCGCTCATTCGTAGCTGCCATATAGGAATATGCCAGGGGGGAAGTTTAACGAAGCGTTAATGAACCATTTGCATTATAGACTAAATTTTGATCTAGACAAAAATTTTATCGCAGCTTCAAAGAGCATCACAAAATTAGTAATATTCCAAAGTTTCGTTGCGAAATGTTGTAAAATGCGGATAATATAGCCATGCGAAGTTTGCCGTTTTTCAGTCATTTTGTATTACGCATGGGAAATTGACAGCCCAATCGGGTGTTGGGGCATCAATTTCCCGTTTGTAATCTAAAATGACTGAAAATTGCAAATTTCGCAAGGCTATATTATCCGCATTTTACAACATTTTGCAACGAAACTTTGGAATATTACTCATTTTGTGATGCTCTTTCAAGCTGTGATGAAATATTTGTCAAGATCAAAATTTAGTCTATAATGCTTTAATGGTCCATTAATATTGGCGGATATTTAACGCGGTGCTATATAACCGCCAATATTCACCTCTCAAATTTATGTAGTGATGCGTTTTCAACCTGTTTTGAAACTTGAACATTGAAAATGATTTGAATATCTATACTTCAATATTGTATTTCACTAGCCTCCTCCGCAGGCAGATCGAGAACTTATATAATTTAGTTATTTAAATAACTGATGTTCTGATTGGTAGTATTTCACTTAACTTTGACATGTTGAATATTCAATATTCAAATTAACATCAATGAGGCAAACATGTTGAAATTGAAGCAATGTTGAATTGAAGTGGCATGCTGAATTTGCTTCAATACGGAAACATATTAATATCAACATGAATATTGGCGGAAATCTAACGCCATATTTTAAGTCGTATTTCCGGTTGGGATTATATCAAACTCAGACGAGAAAAAGATAGAAGGTTGAAAATAACGCTGTATAGAGTGATTTCAAAACATGATGCAACAAGAGGATCACAATGAGCATACGTCTCAAGGTTAGGTTTATAATTTGTTAGTAATATTGTGTAATTTTGATCATATACGAACTCGCTTGATTTTCAAAGCTCATAAATCGCTATAATGTTACCATTGACTAAAACTATCTCTAGGAATGGGGGGATATCGTTACACTGAATCGAATGGTGGTATTTTTGTCCACATAGCATTCAATGAACCGAAGATATGAAATGTCAAACTGCGATAATAGGGTAGTGCTCTTCAAGAGATTTATATCATAATCATTATAAATACCACATATGCATGTGGGAACCGTGCAGAAAATATATGCAACATAGCACCTCAGGCCTTATTCTCCGTCATTAGAGTTGAAAAATATTTCTAATTAATTGGTTTCTTAATACTATAAAGTGTGTAGTGAAACAAAAGACGAAGTTTCATTGTCGTTCTTAATGACTTGAAGTCTTCAATTTTGAAGTCGATCATGTATGTATACTGTATAATCCGGACAGATTAGCTTTGCCAAACTATTCAAGCTAAATCAAATCTTTGAAGGGATTTGTAGATGTGTAATTTTTATTCGTTTATTTACTTTATTAGACGTATAGCCACTGGAGCATTTGCGAAAAATGCAACTACGTACAGTAGCTATTATCGGTCCCTTTGGCAGAAATCGAACAAGGGGTTGACTACCACACGGGCGTTCTTTAAGGGTGACTCAATACAATTGGAAAGCGGTTTTCCACTATAAACTCGTAATATCTTCGTAAAGTCTTCGTAACGTGTTCGTATAAATTAATTATGCATTTGTTATTAACCACTGATATCAGTGTTATTTATTAACCCTAACCTAACCCCCTAACCTAACCCAAAAGGGTAAAAACTTGTAAAATCCACGAAAAAAAAAAGGTTTAAAAAAAAATAATAAAGTAGCGCGCGAGCAGGATTCGATTCGCAAGCTATCACATAGAATGCGGGCCCCTAAACCACAACACTATGAAGGATTTGCTTGAAAGTCAATTAAATGTACGTGCTTTTATTGTTAACAAGTTTAATGATTACGGAAATGTGGGACCTATAACCACTTCCAAATAGCAATGCTCACCAATGGTAAAAATACATCCCTGTGAGTCTGTGACCATTTGACTGGCAGACGGTCAGGTTTCGAAATGTACTAAATGACCGGCAGTCCAGTTCCTTTGGAATTTAGATTCTGATCGTAAATGAATGAATATAACTATTGTTTCTGTGTGTTCAATTTCAGCGATTGCTGCAATAGTGTTGTGGTTATTCCATTGTTTATACTGCTCTAAGAGTAGCGGATCGAATCTTTGCCAATAACAATGCATATAATTAATTTATACGAACATGTTACGAAGATTTTACGAAGATATTACAAGTTTATAGTGGAAAACCGCTTTCCAATTGTATTGACGTCGCCCTCAAAGAACGCCCGTGAGGTAGTCAACCCCATCGAACCTGCAGCCTTGTGATTCCATAATTCCATTGCAGCACTCTAACCAACTGAGCTACAGGTATACAGACTCCAGTTACGTTGTCGAGCTCCAACTGCAAGTTCATGTACACATACCAACTTACTAAGGTGTTGCAATCTAAGCTGTATGCATTGATTCGATTCTTCATTCACCACCTCCCAGTTAGGTCGCTCTTTTCCCGGTAGCCAAATTTTTCTGGTGGCCACTTCGTTATAATTCTCTCAGCTAATCTAGTAAAAAATATTGAAACTGTAGGACAGTGTTCGGAATCTTATCTCTGCGAGTCCTAGGATATAATACCAAATTTTAAAGCAATATTGATTCAACCTGCGATGCAACTTTATACAATTCTTTTCAATCAAACTATAGATGCACAATCGACGGCGGGCAAGACGGGTTACAAATCCTCCAAGGATATCAAAGTCCAGTGCGACCTATTTCGAGAAAAGAACACTACGCATCATCGTACTGAGGAGTATGTAAATAATTCCTTGGTGTTACGACGGGGCGATACGTTCATGTTGGGAATGAAATTTGAAGGAAGTAATTTTTCAGACATATTGAATGTAAAGCTTCGCTTCAGTATGGGTGAGTACAGTGGTGGACTAAGAGCTTTTTGGGCCTCGGTTGAGTGAATAAATATAGAGATATATTTCTTTATGAAAAGTGCTGAGATATGATGTTTTTGCAAGCCATAATTTGTTTTCACAAAGCGAACGAGCTAATCCAATGGGCGACTGAACTTTGTAAAAACAAGCACGGAAATACAGAACAAACTAGTACTTCTCATGTACAAATTTGTTGATATTATATATGCCGAGTTTGTTCTACCATAGAAGTCCAGAAGTCCAGATGTTTTATTTAGGTTATAGAAATAACATGCGATTTAACTTATCATCTTTGATACGTTTGTCTACACAGGTAAAAATCTCACAACTTATCAACAATTAGATGTGCTCGCAACAGGCTTGTGGCAAGCTTGGCAACAAGTTGTAACAATGTTGTTATTTTATCAAGTTGCTACAAGCCTGTCACTCACGACTTGTTGATAAGTTGTTGAATTGCAGGACGATAACAAGTTGTTGGAACAACTTGTAACAAGTCTGTTGAGCTCAACAACCTTGTAGCAAGTTGTCAACAAGCCGTTGACAACGTGTCAACAAGCTGGGAACAAGCAGTGTGAACACATCCTGTTGACAAGTTGTTGGAACAGCATTGCTACATGTCTGCTGCAGGTTTGTCACTTGTGCGTTTTTACGTGGGTAGTGATCGGAATAAATTCATAATTTATAAAAGTCACATGCACGCTAAGAACTGAGAGAACATTTGAATAATATATTTCAATAACACGTAAACATACGTACAATATTCCGTCGAGTTTATGTTCGGCTTCAGGCGAAATAAAGAAAGCCATAACAAAGGGCGGGGAAATTCATGCCGTGGGTTAATTTATACACTCATACGTCATCAGTTGTATCATTTGATTGGACGAAACGTTTAATAATATTTCGCATTTCTGACTGGTTTATATGCATTGCAAAACGAGTTTCCGGACAATGTATTTTGATTGGTTGCTCATATGCAGCTTCGGATATTCTTGCACTATTCACCACGACAAAAACAAAATGGCTTCCCTTTTCGTTCCGGTGACAGATAAGTAAATTTTTGTACAACACGAAGCTGCAGTTTCGCCAAGCACGAAGAAAGCCGCAAAGTTTTGTTTAACAATGTATGTAGGGGTATTCTTTAAAGCTATTTATCTGATATAAGACTTAAATCGCAATATCCCGAACCCCTGTGCATTTAATTTTGACAACATGCAGAATTTCATGATCGATCGGTGTCAAAAGCTTTCTTGAGGTCTAAAAACACTATGGCATTGACATTACCACAATCGATATTGTACGCCCAGTTATTTTGTCAACAAGTTTTACTGAAGTTTACGAAAGGCATAAACTAAGCTATGATTACTATCGTCGAACGATAATTTTATCATTTTCGTTGTAGTGTGGAGACCAACACAATTCTTTTGCCAACTATCGCTGTGTTTACAATTTATCATATCGTTATCGTAACGTTGTGTAGTCTGATCGGGCCTTTAGTTGACGTAGATTATAAAGATTGGTAATATATTAGTCAATAAAGTTGAATTATGATCTAGAGTGGTTGATTACATGCAGTTCAGGTCACGCATTACATAATATTCAACGTTTTCCACATCAACGTTTTCCGCATCAAGTTTGCCAATTATTGTCTCAAATCGTTGAATTTGTCAACAACCCGAGTCAAGGTGGTCTATATACCATGTTGTAATGAGAAAAGGCTTTGGAATGCGCTTGCGGATTTCACACAAATGGCAATTTGGTCAATGGACAGGTCGGGTCGGGTCAAAGTTTGTCGATATGCTTGACTAGACTAGTAATATTAAGTAAGGCCAATTTGAAGCCTCGCATATTATATAGGTAGAAAGTAATTAGATTCACTAGTGACTTGTCTAACTTTAACAGAAAGATTTTTATTGTCATTTCTTACCAACAAAGATTTTCAGGAGATTTTTCTTTGATTCAGTGATCACAAGATCGACGATGGAATTGGCTGTTTCAGGTTGTTAGTTCCTACGTGCAAAATTAGTTAATCGGGCTTTTTCCTTGTCAAGGGCTTGACAAAGTCTCTTTCCGCCAGCGTTGCTCCAGAGAAAGATTTCACTACATAGAAATGATTAGCATCATCAATCATTACTCATTTTCGCCCCGATGACATTTTTGACGATAGAGTCGACCCCTGCAATGACAATGGTCTCAGGGTTTGTTTTAACGTGCATTTCTACACAAAATGTGCAGTTCTAAACCCATTTGTGCAGTTCTTAAAACTCAAATGTGCAGTCACCTAATTAACAAAAATACTGTATAACCTCAAAACAGTCTTCTCATTTACTCGTTTTCCTTGTGGATGCTTCAGACGCCAGTGTTTGAAACTTGATATATTTCTAATATTATTACATGAAGTATTACGATAACAAATAAATTTAAAGTAATGTTGCGTAATCTGTCACAGTCCTCGGGTTGATCATTAAACATGATCAAATGACTAACTTAAACTAAATATGAACTGATGAACATCTTCCTAATATTTTTACGTTTGTTTTGACAGTTTTCGTACAAGTTCTCCTTGAACAGCTGCCTTTCTTTTTGGTCGATTCTTCTTCTCTACAGCGGCAGTCTTAACATCAATGTCTAATGGTTCTGTACTGAGATCTTGTGTTCCGGATGATTCTTCATTCACATCAACTAGTTCTTCTTTATCCTTGTTACCGAATTTCGAGCGAATTTCCTATGGGATTAAATGTTGTATAGGTCTTCGTATGATGATAGGCTTTCGAGTCTCACTGTTCAACACTCGAATCTTTGCTGATCTTACAACACCGTCAATACTCCGAATAAGCTCTTCGACCTTCGCTATTTTCCAAAATAACCGTTTCGTGCTCTCGTTCTTCAAAATTACAATGTCCCTTTGTAATGTCCCATGCTTCACGAATGCTTAGCAGATATTCTCGTCTCCATTGTTTAGTGACTATTCCTTTAGTAGAGTTTTGTGATGTTGAGCTCGTCTTGTCAAAGACTCGTTTGTGCTCACTATCTCGAACTGGCTGTCGTTTGGCGTAGTCGTCATTCTCCGTCCATAAAGTAGACAAGACGGCGTAAGGGAGTAGGATATCCCTTCTTCATCATCATACATGTATGTAATTGGACGATTATTAAACGTTGACTCAATCTCGATCGAGATCGTGCGTAACTCTTCAAACGATAACGTAGCTCGACCAATGGACATTTTTAGGCATCTTTTAACACTCTTTATCAAACGTTCCCAAAAACCCCCGTGCCATGGGGCCTTTTCGATAATGAATTTCCAAGAAACGCCATTGTTTGCGAGATGTTGTTGCACTTCGGGAGAACACTTAATTTTTGACAGTTCCTTGCTAGCGGATTTAAATGTCTTTGCGTTATCTTAAATTATCATTCTTGTAAGTCCTCTGCGACCTGAAAATCTACGAAATGCTTGTAAGAATCCTTCGGCTGATAAACTAGGAAGCAGTTCTCATGAATTCCCCCGTGTTGACGCACAAGTAAATAGAGCGATGTATGACTTTTTTATTGTTGACCACACTTTGAGTTCTCTTTGACGTTGAGGGGTCCAGCGAAATCCACTCCGGTGTAACTAAAGGGAGGGTCATCACTTGTTCGCCAAGATGGTAGGTGCGGAGTCTTGGGCGTAGGGTACGGCTTCCCTTCTAATCTTTTACAAGTCACACATTTACGTAGAACTCGCTTGACTGCTTGCCTTCCATGTAGGATCAAATATCTTTCTCGAAACGGTTCAGTGTTCCTTTAATACCAGTGTGGTTTGCTGAATCGTGATGTTCTTGGATGATAAAATCTGTAACGTGATGCTTTGCGGGAAGGAATACAGGTTTCTTAGCTTCAGAAGAAATAGAAGAATGTTCAATTCGTCCTTCACAGCGTATTATTCTTTTTCGTCCAGAAATAAGCGTAGTTGATCAAGCCTTGAGCTGGAAGTTTTCGTACGATTAATTAATTGTTTAACTTCTTCGGGAAACATATTGTTCTGCATATCCTTTATCCATATCTGTTCGGCTTCGATCAATTCATCTGCTGATAGTTCTAACGTTTTATCTACGGTTTGTCCTTTGATCCTCGTTACGAACCTAAATACGTAAGCCGTCACTCGTAATAATCGTGTTTTCGAACTACATCGATGACAATCTATCACCCTTCCGACACTAACTGTGTGATGTTTCTTCTCTAAGACTGGAAGGGAATGAATTGTTGACTCATTGACTGATTTCACCGTTTCCGATAATGCGATTTCACTTTCTGCTCCATTACATCGCGGAGGTTTCGGCCAGTTTTCTTCTGATAACTTCAGGAATTTAGGACCATGGAACCATTCGTCGTTTTTAACCAGTGCTGCTCCACTACAACCTCGCGAAGGTAAGTCTGCAATGTTAAATTCTCCTGGGCAGAACATCCATTTATCCTCTCCAACGAGTTTTCGAATTTCGTCGACTCTTCTCTGTATGTATTGTTCCCACGGTTTATCATTTTGTATCCAACAAAGTACTGTGAACGAATCAGTCCACATGAATATCTTCGGATTTACTAATCGAGACCAAAGGATCTTGCTAATCGAGCTAACCAATCGAGCAAGAACAGTAGCTCCTAGAAGTTCCAACCTAGGAATAGACTGCTTTCGTATTGGAGCGACTCTAGTCTTGGATGCTATGATGTTGGCTTCAACATGATGGTCTTCATACTCGGTCCGTAGATAAACTACTGTTGCGTATGCTTTTCCGGAGGCATCACCAAACCCATGGATTTTCTGGCTCTTTATTGGTACTTTGAAACGACTGAAGTAGCATCTTGGCACTTCAATTGAATTGATTGACTCTAATTCTTGTAACAGTGAGTTCCAACATGCTAATGAATTTTCATCGAGTTTCTCATCCCAATCTACGCGATCACAACAAAGCAACTGGAATAAGATCTTAAGATTGACTGTAAATGGACTAAGTATTCCAATTGGGTCAAAAATCTTTGCTGAAGCCTTTAATACAGATCTCTTTGTTGCAGGTAGTGTTTTGGTATATTCAACCAGTTCCTTTACACCGAATTGGAATTTGTCAGTTTAACTTTCCAGTTAGATCCTAATATACTGACAGGCGTAATTTCGTTGCTATGTTGTTTTGAATCAATCTCTTTTTCACTTTCGAAAACTGAACTTGATGTCGTTTGTGTTACGTTTGACAATGTATCTTTCTCAATTCGATCTTGTAAAACCTTGGAATTCGAATTCCATTTACGCAAAACAAATCCACCCTTCTTCATTACATCTTGAGATTTATCGTAAATGCCCAATGCTTCTTGATCATTATCAGCTCCTCCTGCGAAGTCGTCAACGTAGAGCGATTCTTTTAACAGCTGGGGTACAACAGCACCATTTTCGTCATGTTGTGATAAATGATTTTGTATCACAGTGGACAAAATTGCTGGACTCGGTGTTAAGCCGAATACAAGTCGTCGGAATTGGAATCTTTTAATAGTGGGATTGTCCTTTCGAATGTCTTCGAACCAAAGGAATCTAAGCATACAACGATCGGATGGACTAATCTGCACCTGATAAAAGGCCTTTTCAATATCAGAAACAATCCCCCACTGGATAACTTCTGAATTTTATTATTGTATCAAATAAAGGCGGTATAAGGTTGGCACCCTCTTGTAAGCATTCATTTATGGATGGACTGTCTATATCCGGTCTTGGTGATCCATCGAAAACCACTCGTAGTTTTGTAGTCTCTCTCTCGGACTTCAACACTCCATGATGTGGTAAGTAGTAACCCTCGTTGTCGTCTTCTTCTGGTACTGATTCAATGATACCACTATTTATTTGCTGCTGAATGACTTTATTATATTCTTCCAGAAGAGTGTTGTCTTTCTTCAGACGTGAATGCAGTTGTCGCAATCTGTTGACACACATACCATATCCTGTTGACTTTGGAAAACAGTCCTGTTTCCAAGGCAGATTAACTTCATATCTTCCTTCGCCTTTATCAAAATGTATCTCGGGTAGAAATTCCGTTGTCTTGGTTTCACTAAACGTATCATTCTTGATACCAATCGATTCGGTCTCCCAGAATCTTTGAAGACTATCTGTCAGGTTACCATCTCGTTTGATGCTGCCGGGCAATAGATATTTTGCAGGTTCTTCTCGTTCGATTACTAAGTGCGATAATGTTGCATTGTTATATTTTCCAGTGTCTATCGATTGCCCAGAGAGAACCCATCCAAATTTGCTGTTGACAGCCACTGAACCACCTTCTCAGTTCTCCTCTTACAATTTCCCCAATTACAATGTCGTAATAATAATCAGATCCTATCAAGATGTCGATTTCATTATGACTGTTCTCTGCGAGAAAGGAATCAGCAAGATCCAATCCCATCAAATGCGGATATTTATCGAGCTCAATCTTGGTAGGAAGAGGTGAACAGATGTTCTCAAAACAAAGAGCTGAAATTTCGATATCTTTGCCTTCTTTGCCTTTCAGGTTTAAATTAACAACATCGCATTTCTATTTTGTGAATTTATCCTGCCCAAATGTGTTCAAGTTAAGCGTTTCTTTCTTTACTGGTTGAAGGCCACGTCATTTCTCAGTTGTGGAATGCTATCAATATTGGATTCCACAGCGTGGATAAAAAAACGCAACCTCAGAATTTCCCAAGAAATCGATATTGTTTCAAGGACAAAAGATTTCAGGTCCCATGCACCCTAAGAGCGCCGTAATGATATACAGTACATGAAATGTATTAATCGTACCATTTTACCATATTATGCACCGGCAACGCAGATAAAATTACTTTCTAATTCCTATCAGAATGTAAACACTTCGCATCAAACAAGATGAACATTGCATCTATTGTGATTGAAGATGCCTTGAATGAAACATCGTGGGGAATGGTTGTTGTTGAAAAATATCAGGAGAAGTGTAATATCGTCGTCAAAGTTATGATTCCTGTAACTGCAGCCATTGGAAGGTAATAAATATTAAGTTTAAGATAACGTCATGGGCCTATAACCAGAATTTCGAACCTATTCTGGATTTCATCGAACCATCGATCTAAGGATGAACATGCACATACAAACATTGACTAATATTTCGCATTCTTCAATAGCATTTGCTTTGTGCTTAAAAATCTGATGAACCCAACTTTTGAGATATTCATGATCAAATTGGAATTCTCCTCACAAAAATTAGAGTTTCATGTGAGACAATGCCTTTATACGGGCATGCCCATCCTTGGACGCAAATGACGATGTGTTGAAGACCGAGCAGCTGCCCAGTTTTCCCACAAAAATTTTAAGCTATTTTTTACGGCTGTAATAAAAAGCTTTCGACTTTGTTGGCTCAAACAGACTAAAAGTCCTAGCTGTATTTAAAGAAAAAATAGAGGCTATACAGTTCAGTTAACTTATCAAGACAACGATACGGTGCTAGTCCTTTTGTGTTTTGGTCATGAATCATTAATGATCTGATAAAGGAATTTCATTAACACTGGGAGTTCAACGTTTTTACATGCTCATTATTCCTTAGTTTCATAGCGGCCATAACCGTTATTACTTTATTGTTTCTTTCAGGCATAAAATTGAAGTTTTACTTCCATCGTCTTCATCTTTTATACTTTTACATTGCTTTGACATCATCGTTATTTGCAACGCATGGAATAAAGGTGTTCAATAATATATGAATTTTTCTTTGACTTTTCATAGTTTAAGGCTATCGTTCTTTATATTAGTATCTTGATATCACATACTTCTCCGTAAGTCACATGGTTACATGGCATAAAAAATAACTACTGGATGAATTATGTAGTAAATAACCTTAATTATAATATTTTGCCGTTATCTAGATGACGATGTTTATCTTGAAAGTGAGGAGTTAAGACAGGAATATGTTTTAAATGATGTTGGTCTTATATATCGTGGCAGTGCAAGTAATGGTGCATATGGGATTACTGCATTACATTGGGAGTTTGGTCAGGTAATGGCATAAAACGTGTTTGGAAACATCCATAGTTCTAAATGCTAACATCATTTTAGACAATTTACTCGATTCTGATTGGTTAAAAACCGTGATCATGATGGACCCAAATAAATATTACCATGCTAATTCAGATACCGTGCTCGCATGGGATTTTTACTTGTAAAGTTGTTTAAAACATTATAGTTTCTCATCTAGGAAATGAAGGTTTTTGTGTGTCAATGGAAAAAAAATAATGCAACCGTATACATCTGGCGAGAATTGTTTCATATATAATCTTGGAGGAAATGCTCCGTTTTAATATTTATATTTTTCTTATCAGATGCAAAAGTAAACTGATAAATTGTGTAATAATAAAATGTATATTCAATAATTTTTTTATGTAGTTTGAAGAAAATGTTTTGGACTGTGTGCTGCTCCTCTTGCAAAAAGATAAACGATTTGAACGACATCCTTTAAAATCTCATCGAAAACAGAACAGCGCTGCATGGATAGGAAGAGTCCTATCTGCTGTGGTAAGGTTATATGTTATGAGACCCTCAATTATACAGTCTCATATTGTACAGGAGAATTTCCTGGCCATTTGCAATATGGTATCGTATCATGTCGTTTTGTATTGACTATATTGAAAACTTATTATTATTTCCTTCATTTTTAAAAGTCTTGCAATGCATCGATATGGAAATCTACAGATGGTATTCCGCTAACCGATATTATTGGCCAACACTGATAAACGATATACCGATATTCTATTTCAGGCCTCGACTATTTTGAGTGCTCGGCAACTCAATTTTATTCCTTCATTATATAAATTTAGCTAAACTGCCAACAAGACGATGGTCTGTTGATGGGAAATTGGTCAGGTAAATATGAGAAAGGTAAAGCACCATCGAGCTGGCTTGGCAGTGCAGATATATTCCAAGAATACCACAAAACTAATGAAGCAGTGAAATATGGTCAGTGCTGGGTCTTTTCTGGTGTTATGAATACTGCACTAAGAGCGTTGGGAATTCCTGCAAGATGCGTAACAAATTTTGACAGCGCTCATGATACTGATGAATCTATGACCATAGATGTTATTGAAAGTGAAGATGGATTAAGAATGGAGGATGTTTGTGATGATAGCATTTGGTGAGTTTTCGCTGGCAAAAAATGTGAAATCCATACTATGAAATTTGCAATTGCACAGGCTAAATCCATAGTATATCCGTACTATTTCGATATCCATAGTATGGAAATATACAATTATTATGGATAAGCAAAATCCATATTTCCAATAAATGTCCATACAATTTCCACTCTATGACATTCTATGGATTTTCAATTTTTTTTCCAGTGTCTATTGCTAATTCTTCTTCAATAGCTTTGTCAATTGGTTCTTCATCTAGCCGGAAGGGAAAAAACCAGAACATTGATTGAATAAAACCAATTTACAATGCGAACAACAGTAACATTTCCTCACGTTCGATGTTTTTGCATATATATGCATGATGTTTTTTTGGGGTTTTTTCGTACGGGGATACGAAAATGTTACATGTGAAAATGCCCTTTGAGGATAAAATTCTAGTGATGAAAATTGGTGCGGAAAACATATTGACATTTTGTTTTTGTTTTTACGTAATTGTTTACGTGTACAGTAATTTTACTGCGCTGGCTTGAATTTACTTGTTCTGGAAAATATTACAAATTAAACGAATGAAAAATATATAATACAAGCTATGTTTTTTGGATATTTGGTTTTAATATTTTTGCAAAAGTAAATATCACAACTCTTACAATCTGATTGGTCAAATTTGACGCTTTAACTCCTATATGCACCTGCAGGTGAACATAACAAAACCGACATTTGAAAAATGGCGGCTAGCCGTTTTGTGGTGGTTACTCATAAAGAAATAAGCAAAATTAAAATAAATTCAGGCCCAAAAAAATACAAAAGACTTGTGTAAAAATACTAAAACAATTATTCGCGGCTGGGTGATTATGGGTAAAAAGCAATTCAAGACGTTGTTAATTACACTTAGTAATTATTAATTATTATTATTATTATTAAAAATTTTGTATGTTCCCCAAAGGGCTTTTCAGCATACAATTACAATACGAAATTTAGAATAAAGCTATGCTATACTATTCAAAATCTAAGTTATGATTGTCTATTAAAACCTTCATATATATGATACTAAGAATTTAAAAGGTGTTCTTTTAGTTTTTTTCTTAAAAACCTTGAGTTCTGGAATCTTTTTCAGTTCATCATCAATATCGTTCCATATCTTAACTGCGCGATAATGAAATGTTCTTTGCCTTGCAGTAGTTTTATAGCTTGGAATATTTAAACAGTTGTTATTTCTAGTCTGGCAATTATGAATATCAGATCGCTTTGTGAATTTATTTACAAGGTAACTTGGCGCAAGGTTGTTCAGACATTTATAAGTCATTATCGTGTCTTTGTAAATAAGTAAGTTTTCAATAGATAGCCAGTTAAGTTCTTGAAGACCTGGTGTTACATGGTCAAACTTTTTAATACTCGTGATCATTCGGCATGCGAAGTTCTGGACTGTTTGCAATTTCTTTAGATTTTTCGATGAGGTATTAGCCCACACCGAAGAACTATATAGCAACTTGTTAATCACCAAAGCTTCAATAAGTAATATTAAAGTTTTTTATCAAAGCTCTCCTTTACTCGACTAATTTGACATAATTTGTTTAATGCACGTTGACGACAGTTTAGAAGTATGGTCATCATAGGAAAGATGTAAATCAAGGTGCATCCCCAAGTCTTTGACAACTGAAACTGGTTTAAGAGTTTTTCCGAGAAAGTTCAGATTGGTTTGTGTTGGTAAATTCAGGCTGTAGCATTGATCTTGTGCCCAGGCCCGGAGCTACGGGGGGGTGTGGGGGGGGGTGACACCCCCCCAGTAATTGTATTCAGTCGGCAGGACTGCTATTCAGTCGGTAGGACTGCTATTCAGTCGGTAGAACTGATATTTGGGTTAAATATTTTTGGCGCAAAGGGCAAGAACGTGGTGGGAATTTAAGGAAAATGTTGAGGAAAAATGTAAAAATTTTGGAAAAATGTAAAAAAATGTTGAAAATTTGTTATGAGCGGAAAATTTTTGAATGTTCCGGAAAATTTTTTTACGTCCGGAAAAATTTTTTGACCCCTAAAATGGTACACTGACCGAAATTTTTTGGCGACGGGGGGGGGGGGAGATCGACCAAAAATTTTTGATCCGGAAAAATTTTTTTCAACCAGTCGGTTGAATTGACCTTATTAAACCCCCCCCTGAAGAATTTCCTGAGGACGGCCCTGTTTGTGCCTGCTAAGAGGAATTTGGTCTTGTCAGGATTGATTAATAATTGATGTTCCAAGCACCATTTAGCGGTTTTATACAGATCGTTTTCTAGTTTAGCTATTGCCTGTTGTACGTCTTCGACAAGAGATGCAAGATGGAGTTTTGAATTGTCAACGTATTCCAAACAAAAATGGTGAAAGAATAGAGCCCTGGGGCACTCCATGGTACTAGCGCTAGTTGAGGAAACAGTAGATCCTATTTGTACGTATTGTGATCTGCTCGACAGATAGCTTTCGAACCATTGAATGGCTAGCGGAGACGCTCCTACGCATTTTAACTTATGCAATAGGATTGTATGATTGATGCTGTCAAAGGCCTTAGACAGGTCCAACAAAATGTGGGCTGTTACATGTTTTTTGTCCATGGCTTCCAGCATCTTGTCAGTAATGAAGATGTTTAAAGTTTCTGTAGAGTGGTGTTTCCTATTTCCATTTTGATGTGGTGATAAACGTTTGTTTTCTGTTATGTATGAACTAAATTGGTCGAGTGCAACTCTTTCACAGACCTTTGATAAAACTTCTAAAAGTGAAAGGGGTCGATTATTAGACGGTATCTCTTGATCGCCATCTTTATGCAATGGTATTACTTCAGATAGTTTCCACTTATCTGGAAACTTGCCTAACGTTAAGGAACTGTTAATTAGGTTCGTAAGGGGGCCCAGAATGACTGGTAGACAGTCTTTAATAACACCCTAGCCCGCGTGCAGGCCCAAGGGAACTGATAGTGGGTCTGCAAGCAAGGCCCGGTATTTTGTAAAACGCCCCTTTTCATAACACGCCCCATTCGCGCGTCAATTGTCAAAAAAAGAACCAATGACAGCACCCAAATATTAACAAACAAACTCGCATTAAAATGTTGCGGGGTTTTCTCTTCTTATTCATAACATAAACAATGTGTAAATGGCTGCGTTTTAACTCCAAAAAAGCAAGCAACGCAGTCAGTAATTGCCAAATTTGCAAGTGCTCATTTTCAACTAAAATCGGAACAGGCAAATTAGAACTAATTTCAACAGAAAACCAGTCTCAGACTTCAAATCGTGAGGGAAGTCGTGCGACGTAGCATTTATAATGTATGTGTGCTTCGCTGTCGCCATTGTTATAAATAAATTGTCTCACTTATCAGATCGTGTGTGCAATTCTTGTTGGTGGCGGAAAGTACGAAATTTATTTCAGTTATTTCATTCGGTAAAGAACTCTACAAAAGAAGAGAGCGTTTAGAGTCCAGATCGTTTCAAACGGCAATTTAATACCGTCTTCTGTTTCGCTCTCTCAGCGAAGCCAAAATCGCAAAGTGCTTCGAATAGGCTTACATGCAACTGCCTCTAAATCTTCACCGCGTTTTCTTCAGTGCAAGAACAGAGTCAACCAAATGATAATTTTCTTGAGGAACACATAAACGTATCAAGTCTGTTTGAAATTAATAATGAAACTCAAGTAAAGGTTACTATAGTTTACCCCAGTCGTAAATCGTAATGTTGCTATTCCAACACCTCACGACAAGCAATCCCCATTGGAATATCGCCAAAAACATCTCTTCCTTCAAGTAAACAATAAACAGTCTGTTCTTGTTCCATTTATAATCGAAAAAAGCGATCAATTTTTGAATTTTAAGCTTATCGAGAGCCTTTGTGATGAATCACTGATCCAATTATAGAATCCAACAGCAAACAGCCAATCAGAATGCCGCGTTCGTGGGCGAACGCGGAAAGTACAAAATACCGGGCCTTGCTTGCAGGCCCACTATCAGTTCCCTTGGGCCTGCACGCGGGCTAATAACACCCATGCTGATCTTATCCGGCCCCGGTGATTTGTTTCTGGGCATTGCCATAATAATTCGTCGAATTACTGAACAATAATGTCATGAAATTAATAGTTTAAGTGAAGTTGGAAGATTGCTCGTCAGTTAAAATAGTCATTTCTTACTATACAACATTTAGAATGTTCACACATAAAATTTGATTTTAACATTTTTTCACATGTGTGAAATTTCTATTTCGATGTGGAATTGGAACTTCACAGTGAAAAAGCTTTTTCAGATCATGTGAAATCATATGTGAAATTTTCTTAAGGGAATTCTTTAATTTTAATTTCCCTTACGGTAAATTCACATATAATTTTACATGTGAAACCTTCACATGTGAAACTGCACATATATTTTCACATCTGAAATGGATCATATGTTTAATTCACATGTGAAATCATTTTTCAAATGTTGAATCAGGCACGGATTTTCGGGGGGGAGGGGATATCCCCCCCCAAAGGCTTTTGGCACTCCCGCAAATTACATATATTTTGATCTGATAGTTTCATATTTGATTATTCATACTACTAAATTTGTAAAATTACTAATATTATGCATGGTCTCAGATCTCGCCACGCCCCGGGCAAAGCAAGCACCAGCACCCCCAGATATTTATTCACCACCCCGAACGAAAATATGAAAATCCTTCTCTGTCAGTTGAATTGAAACATTTCACACGGTGCATGAAAAGGCAATTTCACAAGTGAAATCATGCATATGTTAATGTTATAACAATGTGTGTTGAACTAATATATAAACGTAAAACATGGGTTAACTCGTTAAAAACTGGAAATATATACACCTACCTTCAAACACAATATCGGCAAATCAATCAATCAATCAATCATTTCTTGCCAATCGTTTTGGCAAATAAATCAATCAATCAATCAAGTCGTTTCTTTTTGTATACAAGACATTTGTAAACCGTGTTATTTCTTCATCTGCAGGAATTTTCATGTTTGGAATGAAATGTGGATCAAACGAAAAGATCTAGCATCCAATAACTATGATGGTTGGCATGCCGTGGATTGCACACCACAAGAAAAAAGTTCTCAGTTGTATCAGATGGGGCCTGCACCACTGGCCGCCATTAAGAATGGTGAAACCTACGTCGGATATGACGCTGCGTTTGTTTTTGCTGAAGTTAATGCTGATTATGTAAAATGGATCGCGTTAAGGGATGAGAGTGGCGATATTGTGTTTGAAGGTAGGTGTATATATTTCCAGACAACGTTCTTCTGTCCTGCATTAATTCAGGCGCTGCATAACGATTAGTACAACAAGCGAATGAAAGGAATGGTACTTTATTGCAAGAAGTACAGTAGATTATCCTGAAACGTGCCCAGCGCAATGCAAGAAAGCTTTATTTCAAGGGCACTAAACTTAATTTTGCATTTGTAATCGAAGAGCACAAATGTTGCATGCATTCTATGTTCAAGCGGGTAAAATGCTTTTGTATCTCGATGAAAACATTTTCTGATATTTTTACACATCAACCCTTTAAGTGGCGATGCATGCACCCTGATGCGCCCTACTTTAGTATTTTACTCTGTCTGACGCCAAACGATTTACTCTTCAAGTTGAGAGTTCTGCCACTCAATGGGTTAACCAACTACCCATGTATCCTCTTAATCCTTTAAGTGGCAATGCAACTTAGGCCTGATGCACCCTACTTTATAGGTATTTTACTCTGTCTAACGCCAGATGATTTTACTCGTCAAGTGGAGAGTGCTGCCACTCAATGGGTTAAATAAGGTCCGAGACCGGAGCGAAGTCAAACCGGGACCATCTCGTTTCGGTCATAGTATTATTTATAATTTTGTAATTTTCGTACCGGTCTCATGTAAACATGTTGACAATTTCAATTTTCATTCCGTTTTGACGTCCCGGTCTCCTGTAAACGAGGCCTAAGAACATAATTATTCAAATCAAACACACAACGAAAACCAGCATTTTGGTTCAAACTTAATTTCGGCGTAATTTTATTAGATGCATGTATCCGAACTTAAAAACAACAGAGCTATATTTTATTGATGTAAAAACTATTAAATAAAGAGACATTTCAATTATCTGATAGTAAATCAGATATACGAAGGCATACATGCCTCGTTAATTATTTATGAACTAGTTATAATTACTGGCTAAATATTAAAATATAATTAATTATAATGTTTCAAAACCAGGTGAAGAATTTTTGGTCTATATGGCATACGGTAGGCTACGACATTCTTCAAAAATTTTCCAGACATTGGGATTACTTGAAATGATTATAGTTATTGATAGTGGTTCGATTAACATGTACAATTAATCATTGTATTCAATCAAACATGATATAGTCTTACTGGCATCGTGACAGATCTCACATATAAACAAGTAATGCAGTCATCCCTCTCTCTTCCGCAGAAGCTTACATGGAGTTTCTAGTGAAGGAAAGTGAGCACGCAAAGAGTGATGAGAATAGCGAAATAAATTAAGGAAGCTTCTGCTAGTTAATGCCATCAATATGGCATCGTATATAATCGTTTGGAGTTCGGTTCGATATCAACCTTCGAGAGTGTTTAAAAACATGTCTTCCACTTTCCTTTTCAGGCGTACTTGAGTCTCCTGGATTGAATCCAATTTCAATATCTTCTTCTGTCCATTTGCACCGAAACATATTGAGAAATTGCAAATGAATATAAATGGATACGAGCTATCTAATTATAAATATCCTCTAATTAATTGCAACATTTATTTATAAAAACGACTCTACTGACCTTCGATACTCAGATTATGAAAATTTATTTCAATTTCTTCCACATTTCCGTCGATTTCAAGTTTAAAAAAGGACAAACAACTGGTTTGGTTCAAAAACCATACTTCTCGGCTTCATTCTAATCTTCCCATCACACCGCGCGCGCTCGCTTTCATTCAGGAAACTTCATGTAAGTTATTTGTAAATACTTAAGGAGGCTATGCGGAGTAGAGAGCAGTCATCCACAAATCAAGTTATAGCAGAAAACCGGTTTCCTCCTTCAAAGTAATTAAAACAATATTTGTTCTAATCTCAATTTTCGATAACATTATTTTCCGCACGAAAACCGCAGATGCAGCTCAACCTTAGTGGACAAGTAAAGTTAGCATCACCATGCAATAATAATCACCTCTTTTACGAGTACGTCAATGAAGGAGCGATCAGAGAAACGAACCGGAAAATGCAAACTTCTCTGCCCACCCCAGAATGTATTTGTATTTTGGAACATCTGGTGCTTGATTTTCAGGCTTCATCACAGGCTACTTTTTGGTATCTTGTTAAATTAACTAAGTTTTTTCTCCAGCTCTTTTTGCTTATATTTTCGACATGACGAACCTTCATGCACTGAATAAATAGAGAATAATACATGGGTGTTATTATTATTATTATTATTATTAATGGTTTAAGATACACACCTTCGCAATAGATTGAATTATGGTGCGTTTACAAAATTGGTACGCTATATATTTACATATATAAAAATTTAGTTGCATGCATCAAGTCTAAAAATCTTATTGAATTGCATTAAAATCATCGTAATTAAGTATCACGCTTAAGTTTCTTTACTATAACTATTATATAAAGCTACTGTACTGGGAAAAAAGCTACGGCGATATCTTTCTGTTCGGCATTTTATTGTTGTTAATGTGTTAGAGTTTCTAAGTTCATAATCATTTGAACTAGCCCTAGACAGTGGAACATATTTTGACAGTGGTCCTTCAATTTCTATGCGTTTCATAGTATTGAGGCAATGTCGTTCTCGCCTTTCATCCAATCTGGAACACCCAAATTGTGCTAATGCTTCCCTATAAGAGTAACCCGGTAAAATAATCCTCAGCGCTCGTTTTTGCACTCGCTCTAAAACATCGGCGAGGTACAAAGGTAGGGCATGATGCCATACCACACAACAGTACTCCAGAACCGATCGTATTAAGGCAAAGTATATACTCAATAAGTCTTCCGCAGGGACACCACCTCGTCGTAATATGCGGATGATATATAAACGTTTAGAAGCCTTGGATACAACTGATTCTATGTGTGCATTCCATTTAAGATCGTTTTGGATAACCAGACCTAGGACTTTATGAGACCGCACAACCTCAAGCGCATGACCGTCGATCAACAATGGTGATAGATCAGGTGATTCCCTCAGAAAGCAAACGCGTAGTTCTTTGCACTTTTTGGAGTTAAGTTTCATAAGGTTGCACGAAGTCCAAGAATTTATAGTATCAATACAGAACTGAAACTTTGAGTTGCTGCCCTTTGTGATATTTTCAGATGTTGATATGTCATCCACAAATTTCCAAATATCCGTTGCGTGTGGTTTCACATCGAGATCATTTATCATCGCCAAAAACAGAATTGGACCGAGTTTAGTTCCCTGGGGGACACCCGCATTCATTGGCAACCAGTCTGACGTTTTTCCTCCAAGTTTGACCCGATGACGGCGGGTAGTTAGGAAGTTGATAATCCAAGGCAACAGGGACGATCTAACACCTCGGTCCAACAGCTTTAATATTAGTAAATTATGTCCTATACGGTCAAACGCCTTTTCGAAGTCAAGGAAACAAAGTCTAAGATGTTTTTCAGGACACTCTAAGTTGCACAACCAAGTGTGGATCATGTCTAAAAGACAATAGGTTGTGGATGTTCCTTTCAAGCATCCAAACTGCTTGGGGTCGATCTTGTCTTTAATATCGGTTATTATCCGCCCGACCACGAAATCTTCAAGAACCTTAGCCAGGCAGGGTGTCAGTGAGATGGGTCTGGTGTCACCTTCACAGGTAGGAGGTTGTGATTTTGGAACTGGTATGATGTCTGAGTCTTTCCATATTGCAGGCACGATTCCAGATGAAAGTGATTCGTTGAAAATAGTTGCAACAGGTTCAGCTAATTCATGGGCATACTCTTTCAGGATACGACAGGGGACGTTATCTGGGCCGTGAGCTTTAAAAGGTTTAATTTCTAAGAGCTTTTTACATACTTCATGCGGTTGAACTGTTGGGGCAGGTTCTTTGGCCGGAAGAAATGCCGGGAGTGTCGCTAAATTAAGTGGTGGAATGTCACTATTCACCGATGCATAGAACACATTCAAAGCTCTAACTAATTCTGATTGATCCAGAGTTCTTCCATCATGTTCAAGCGAGAAGAAGTTCTTTCCAGATTTTCCTGCCATTTTATTTACGATTTTCCACCACATACGGCAGTCATCCTTCTTTAAATGTTGTACCTTTGTTTTGTAGTACGATATTTTCCTCGCATTGATTTCATGTTGGACTTTATATTTCAACGATTTCCACAAGATTGTATTATGACTATGAAACGCCTGGATTATGTAAGTCAATGACGTCACTATGACGTCATCATAATATAATAAAAAGTGTGATTTATACAATATTATTGCATTTGAAGGAGATTTTATATTATATCTAGTTACAAAAAATAGTTAGTTGTTTTATTTTGAAGATTTGTAATCAAGTTTTCAACACACACTTGGAAAAATAATTTTTAAAACAATTATTCGACAGCTAACGTAATTTGATCGTAAAAAACGGGAAGAAGGATTGAGGAATTGGGTAATTTCATTAACAATTTTTCATGAAATATTTGTTTTAAGCACTAGGAACAATGTGTTATTTTTTCAATTTTTACAAACACTCCAAAACTGATGGTAGTGCAAATGTATAGGGCCGTTTCAAGCGGCATTCGCACATAACTCTACATGTTACCACTTGTTACCATCATATTACCATCCATCTTACCATTTTTCCTCTATTCATTTCTATATATAATGAACATGTTACCACATGTTACCATCTATTTTATAAAATAGTATATACAATTATATTTATAGAAAATAGTGGTAACAGTTTGGTATCATGGTAACAACATTGTTTTGGGGGAGAAGGGGGGGGGGCGAATAGGATGTCTCGATAATGTTTGCACCTGACTGCATTTCTGGCGTTTTCTAAAGCAAATTCGAAAACAAATTGGATGTAAATTGACTGTATTTGACACAAATGATTCTCATTTCACAAAAATAATTACTTTGTTACGCAAATTTTACCTGCATGATAATGTCAAAATTTTAACTTTGCCTGAGTTTCACAACTGGGGAGGGGGGGGGGGGGTTACACCCAACACACCCCCCGGTCGCTACGTCCCTGGGTGAAATTCAACTCACGCAATTTGCTAAAATACACTATGCATCTGAATTTAGTAATTTAGTACGTCTGGTAATGCGAGACGATTTACTCCTCCATGGAAAATAGGGAATGTCCTGCAAAGCTATCTCACAGGACCTGGAAAGGGCGTATTTCTGCTATAATAATACGGTATTTGCATGTCAAATGTCAAAAATTGGTCAATTTCTATTATAATTATATGGATAATATTTGGGTTGCTCGAATGGCACAGTATTAATTTAATCGTTATTAATTATTTATTTTTTTCGTTCATTATAATAAAGGTTCAATTCAATTCAACTACTGAAAGCTCGTATTTTTTCCAACTGCCCAGATTTTTTTTAGAGTTGCACAAATTGATTTAGAACTGCACATTTTGTGTAGAACGTGCAAGTTAAAAAAACCCCCTGGAGGAAGTTAAAAACTTTAGTTGTTTTTGGTTACAGAGAAAGCCTGCTGTGTCCATTAAAACTGACTTGTTTGAGTGTGTAAACCAGACATTGACTGATCTGCGGTAGGGTCGTGAGACAATAGTGGAAAAAGTCCAATTCAATAGCAAATTCCAATTGGCAAGTTAACGTATAATAAACGGAAAAGTAGACAGAAATTGTGTTATGTTCTCATTTGGCGCATTATCATCTCTCTAGACTGAATTGTATAATTCTCAAAAGCAGTACACGTAATATATGTATTTGTTCATTACTTCAAAGTTTAATTGTCAAGGCCACAAGCATTTATTAGCACTCATTTCAAATGAAAGCAGCTGTTTTTCGGGATATATAATTCATTTGAAGGATCGAATAATGAGGCAGCATGCTGCCGCAGTCTGAATTACAGAAAATCAGCCGAATGTTAATTTCTATTGCTCTTGTGACTATAACAAGTTGCAGCTCTGTGAATTACAGTGTTTGAATGGTAACTGGGCAACTTGAAAAATTGCTTGATCTTGGTTGGATTTTCAGCTTGCCTGGTGTGAGCCTACTGTCAGTACCCGACAATTTGCCAGATTTCTAATATCACAATCATAAGATAAATCTTGTTTGGCAGGTCATGACTCAGAACAAACCTTGTGAGACTCCATGGTCTACACTTAAGTCTTGCGTGGATTCCAGCGTAGATTCCGAACTCTTTATACTATATTACTTTTGTATAGCTGTCCAATTATACTTTAATCAGCGAATTGCATATTAGTCCAGTCAATCTGTGACCAGAGGTCAAAGAAATTGCAATAGAATTTTTTTCAGTGGTAAAATGTGAGGGAAGGTGTCCTGATTAACATACTAAAAATAAAAAAAAATCCCAGCCTTCGGTGGAACATGGTGAAAATCGAGTTTTTCTTACTTCTACCTATAGAAAACCATTGTGGACAGAATGTTCAAATTTTGAAATCATTTTTAGGCAAATGTAACCTACATTATTGGAAAGCTTAAACAAAACTATATAAAGGTCAATTAAACCGTTATATTCAATTTACTGGTCAGTTTGTCGTTATTCTAGCTCAAAGTTGGAAAAATAGCGCAAAATTTGCACAAAATACAAATTTATGGCATTTAAATCTTGTATAACTTCGGCTGGATAGGCAAAAGCAAAGTAACCGTTTAATGATCTATATTTTAGTTTTTTCTAAGCTTTCCAATAATGTAGGTTACATTTGCCTAAAAATGATTTCAACATTCTGTCCGCAATGGTTTTCTATAGGTAGAAGTAAGAAAAACTCGATTTTCACCATGTTCCACGGAAGGGATTTTTTTTTTTTTAGTATGTTAATCAGAACAACTTTTCTCACACTTTACCACTGAAAACAAATCTATTGCGATTACTTTGATCAGGACCATGTACTTATAGTGATTTGACTGGACTATATACTCTAGGACACAAAACATGTTCGAACGATGTAAACAACCTGTTAACCCTCATCAACGTCCTTGCTCATTTATATAGAAATTAACAAATATCTCATCGCAATGTCAAAGAATGCATGTCATTCCTCCAACGACATCTTTCTTTAAGATCAAATATGTTAAAAAGGTAAGACAATTTGTATGGAGCTAGGCTGATCTAGCAAATGAATGTTTTTTTATTAATTAAATGCTTAATTTTCAGAAAGAAGAAAAGTAATATTGTGGCTTTATTGATTTGCATGTCGATTTCTTTTCCCTTTTCAAAGCACGACTTTCTTAAATTTGGAATATTGGCGTAAAACTTGCAAAGTCAACTTTACAAGTTGCTTACTAAAGTATTGGCGTATTCAACTAAAGTACCGAAGTACATAACTGAACATAAACTCGTAATTTGCAGTGTTTTACTAATATGGCCAACATTGAAGAATTGTTTACTAAATACATTTAATTTGTTGGCTATGTATTTATTAGTAAAACACTACAAATTACGAGTTTATGTTCAGCACTTCAGAGGGGCCCCCCAAATGCTGGAATATTGTGAAAAACGTATTTTTAACCCCGTTTTATTATTATTATTATTATTATTAGTCTTTAATGAAACAGAAGATAAAAATACATATCTTAAGTTACAATTCATATTACAGTATATGCATTATTTACACTTTGCTAAAAAGAAACTTACAATGTTTAATCATATTGTAGTTCATACTATATACATTACTCATTCGTTCATACTGTGTGTCTTGCTATAGAGATAACTTGCAATGTTTAATCAATAACTAAGTCATAATTGTATACCAAACGGTTTACAAACACGTTTTTAAAACGTTCCGTTCTAACTTTCGGCCTATGACTTCTTCTTTTTCTTAAGTTGTAGCCTGTTTCTTTAGCGTGTGGCATTAGTGACAATAATGGATGCTGCCAGAGTTTAGATACTCTATTAAATATGGTTCGATCTTGTTTTTCTAAAAGCTTATACACACTAACTGGCTTTGACGTATATTTCCTTTTATAGCAACGTTTAAGAAAGACTTCAATAGGAGTTAAATCGGATTTGGAAGCGGCATAAACAGATAATGCGTATGTTATGTTTGGTAATACCAGAGTATCAAACAATAGATCTATCTCTTGTTGTGAATAACCTTCCTTTCGCAATGATCGTAAGATATAAAGACACTTATTTGCCTTGATTAATTTGTTTTTAACATGTTCGCCAAATTTGCCATCACACTGGAATGTAACTCCCATCACTTTCACTGCTTTACACATTGGAATCATTGCTATTGGTGAGAAATATTCTTGGTTACCTTGCTTGTAGATGGTCATCTCTTTACACTTTCCTGGATTACATATCATCTTATTTCTAGATGTCCAATCCAAAAACTGTGACACCAAAAAATCAGCACAATCTCGCTCTTTCCAAACTGGAGCCACAATATTGGAGTCATCCGCATACTTGAACAATATATCAAGACCGTCCAATTCTAAGTTTAAATCATTCAGGAAAATGTTAAAAAGATGTGGCCCACTGACACTCCCTTGAGTGGTGCCTCTATTGACACATTTCCATTCACCCTCATATCCATTGTAGCATATTCTTTGTTTTCTGTCCTTCAAGAAACTGAGGTACCAGTTAATAATATACGGGTTAAGTGGGAAAGCTTTTAATTTACTTGCAAGTAGATCGTGCTTAACTGAATCGAAGGCCTTACTAAAGTCCATGGTGAACAGTCGGACTGCTCTACAGTCTGGATCGTCCATATAACTGTTTATCCTATGTTGCATGGCTAAAAGGGCGCAAGTACAGTTTCCACCGGCCCTATATGCAAACTGCGTGCGGCTTAGATTATTCTCCACAACATCACGAACATGGGTGTCATATACAATTCTCTCGAATGCCCTAGCTATCACCGGCGTTATACTAATGCCCCGATAATCCTGATTTTCATTCGGCATTTCTACTTTTGCAAGGGGATTTACATTTGATCGCTTCCATGCCGAAGGCCAGCTTTGGGTAGATAATGATAGATTCCACACTCTTGTGATTACTGGGGTTAATATCTCTTTGTGTTCTTTCCAGATCCAGTATGGAATTTGATCTGGTCCTGTTGCAGTTTTCGTAAGAGCTTTAAGGATATTCCATACTTGCAATTCACTAACTCTTGGTGTTTCGACTTCACTTTCAATTCGCAATGGTGTTGGTTCAACATATGTGTCATCAGAGCATAACTTAGCAAAGTAATCATTTAGATCTGACAATCTAGTGTTATCTAGAATCGCTCTATCTTGTTTTTTACGTTGACTCAGGGCATCAGTCATTTTCCACCATGCCTTACTTCCTAATGGGGTGGTCTTGCATTTCCTCCTATTCTCCGATATGACTTCTGATATTCGTTTGTTAATTTCCTTTAACCTGTCCTTGTTCAGCTCGGATATCCTTGACTTTGCTCTAATCATCGACTTTAATAGCGGGGTCATCCACACGGGGTCACGTGACGACATTGATATTGTCCTAACCGTTATTTATCCAATAACGGTTAGGAAAAATCTAACCCCCCCCCCAAAAAAAGTGAAGGGGACCCAAAATTTTGTGTTCACCCCCTCCCCAAAGACATCGGTCGGCACGGCCCTGTCAGTAGTTCGGTATACTTTAGTAAGCAACTTGCGAAGTTGACTTTGCAAGTTTCACGCCCAATATTCCATGTTTCGAACGTAATTGGGAATATTCACAACAAACTTGGGAGCCGCGTTTTGAATACTATGATCTTTCGTTTTTGTGCGCGAAAGAAAGTACTATAATTAATACTTGGATTGTGTTCCTGTTTTTATAACAGGATAGACTTGTTCCTGGATTCTTTATGGAAATTGCAGTTGAGTTTACTCCAACAGAATGGCGATATTATTATGACTGTATCAGAATTCATTGCCAGGTAAAATAGTAGAAATCATTTTTTATATAAAATGCATGAATAGAATAAAATAAAAAGTACGATTCGTCTACTTTCACTTTCCAAACGACAACGCGATATAATAATAATATTTTAACCTATTGAGCCGCAATGCGCCCCAGTGCACCCTACTTATTTTTTTTTACTTCTCTAATGCCAGACGATTTTACTCGTCAATGGGGAAGCTCCGCAGCTTTAATAATGGGTTAATGATATGTTAAATGTATATTAATTAATATAATTGTCAGTTAATTTATATTAATTAATATATACTAACTCATTATTGATGAAATAAGTATAGTTTGCCAAAAAGTCAATTTTAAAAAGGTCTTCGCCTTAGGTTCCATTCCCACCACGGTAAAGCAATTTTTCAGCTTGCTCAGTGCAGAGACACTCATATTTATAATATATTCAATCTATATTAATTAATATAATTATTAATTAATGAATATTAATTAATATATACTAACTCATTATATTAGCTCATTGCATATATGATTGCGCATGGTTGATGAAATAAGTATAGTTTGCCAAAAGGTCAATTAAAGGTCTTGGCCTTGGGTTCCATTCCCACCACGGTAAAGCAATTTTTCAGCTTGCCCGGTGCAGAGACACTCATATTAATAATATATTCAATGTATATTAACTAATTTTATTATTAATTAATGAATATTAATAACTCATTATATTAGCTCATTAGATATATGATAGTGTATGGTTTATGAAATAAGTAGTTTGAGAAAACAGAAAAGTTTTCAACTTATTCTGTCTGTACGCTCATGGCTACTGAATAATAAACACAAAAACGTGTTAATCATTATTGTGTTCACTGTAGTTGTGAAACCATTCCTATATCAATAATTAAGTGATCGTATGCTTTCTCTTCCAGTCCAATGAAAATCTTATTGTTCCACTTCATGGTTATCCTGCTTTGAATCTCTCAGATTTTCCAAGAAAACTTGACTTTGGTAGAGTCGCTGTTGGCGAGAGGTACACTACATATCTTGTACATTATTATTGATCACCTATTTTGTGCTTAACTATAACGGTTTGAATTTGTCAAAATTGCATGATCTGCATAAATTAAGTTTAATAATTTAAGTATAAGATTGTATGTCATACAGTATAAGTTTTAATTTGTGAAAATTCTGGCTTGCAAGGTTGTACAATAACTGTCTTGTGCAGCTTACAAGTTTAAACACTACATGAACTTCCTGTTTGTCGTTTTAGTGAAATGAAAAACATCTCTCTGAAATCAGACGTACCTGTAGACTTTGAGTACAAAATAAATCTTCTCCAGTCTATCCCTGCCATTCAGGTGGAGCCACGACAAGGTAACTAACTTTCTTTGCACCAATTTTACCATGCGGGAAATATACATTAAATGGATGAATTAATGGATATAAACGTCATTCTAACGTAAGTACTTCATTCTTACCTTCATTCAACGTCATTCTAACGTACTTGCTGTAAGAAATGTGTATTTAACCCTTAATTCCTCTTGAAGGTGAAGTCATCTATAAGTGTCAAACCTAGATAAATGATGAAATTGCACGAGAGTGCATTACAATTTAATGTTAAGAAAGACAACAATGAAAAGATATTTTGATTAACCCATTACAGGTAAACTACGTAAAGCGTTCCTCTTTTGAGTTCCTAACTTGATTGCAATTTTCCTCATTACGTTTGCAAATTTGAAAAACTCCCTTGAGGGAATTTGCAATGTTCCTTTCGGCTGGAAGTTAGGAACTTGTATAACAGGAAATCCCCTTTTAGGAACATTTCAAATTCCCTCAAGGGATTTGCAAGGGAGTTTTACACATTTGCAAAGGTGATGCGGAAAATTGCAATCAAGTCAGGAACTCAAACGAGGAACGCTTGACGTAGTTTACCTGTAATACGCCAGAGCCTTCCCTTGGACTAGTGGGAATAATGGTCTCGCAGCTAGAACAATTTTGTCATGAATGTAAATGAAAAGATTGCATTTTCATCATAGCACGTTTAACAAAAATTGGTATGCCGTACAATGGATACTGCGTATTGTGAATGCAACTAATTTTCTTATTCATCTAAGGTGTGATACCTGGTATTGGTTCATTAGACATCAAAGTGACTTTTAGTCCAACAGAATTCTGTACAGTTCACAGTAAATTACAGGTAAATTTAGTTGCCAGTCTTGCATATATGTTTTTAGGGCGGACCATTAGAAAAGTGATGGAGCAAGCAGGGGAAACAGACTTTCAATAGGGAAAATTATAAGTTGAAATAAAAAAATATTCGTGCAAGGCATTATATTTAAAAAATTATCGACACAAGCAAAAAATTTAAAAAAAAATATTCGTACAAGTTGAAAAGTTTCCCCCCCCCCCCATCACTTTTCTAATGGTCCGCCCCTTAGCAGGATATATTCAATAAAAATGCCAAATTAGAATGTATATGCATAAAGGCCCATTTACACGACACGTCTGGTCGTACGTGCACATACGATTGTTATTCTGGTGTATGAAAACGACTGCTGACACCAACAAGTATCGTATATGATTAATCGTATTGTGTGGATGGTCCTTAACTATTGTGTGATATCAAATATTAAAAATAGAAACAATTATAAACTTTTGAATGCGCTACTGTGATCTACTGTATTTCTTTGCTGACGTCAGTTTCACCATTTCTTTCAGCTGCTGATATCACAATTTAATGCTTCACCACGAACGTGCCACATCACTGGATGTTCAGCACCCGGGCTGAAACTAAAGTAAGCTTACTCTAAAAACATATGTCAGTATATACCACTCTTCAAAGCGATTAACCTGAGTATCGCAGGTTACAAAGCGATAGGATCTTATACAGTAAGATCTCTGATGGCAGTTGTTGCTGCATGCATGATTGCATGTAATCTGGCAAAAGCAGGCTTTCTTGCCATCCTACGTTTCCTACTTTTTCCTACTTTTCTTCAACTTTCCTACTTTTCCTATTTTTTATTAAAAATTGCTTGATTTTCCTACTTTTTCCTACTTTTTCTCATAAAATCCTACTTTTTTAAGACAGCTTGGGAGATCAGTATGTTATAGCTCTCGCAATTAGACCTATAGGACTCGTAGTTTTTATTGCCTAGCATCTCTAGAATCATAATCAATAAATTAATGAAGACTCTGAAAGTGCCATTTCCGACGATCTAGAGATTCCAAATATTCAACTCCCCCCTCCCTCAGTTAATCAAGCATCATATACACCAGGGCCGTAGCAACCGGGGGGGGGGGGCTGCAGGTCCTCGATAATTTGCTAATAATCATTTTTTTCAAAATCATGCAGACCTTTATCATTTAATCCATGACATGCAAACTGCAAAGAATGAAGATATTACCCATACTTTCCTAGTGCAACTTATCGAATGTATAGTTAATTAAATTGTAAATTTCGACATACTAAAACGCTGTTTTCTGACCATTAGAATTCTGTCAAATCTTCCCCAAAGTCCAGGAAATGGCATTTCAGAGACTCTAAATTTAAAAATCTCCTCACTTTCAGCCCCCCACCCCCAATCGAAAAGAGCTTCCTACGGCCCTCATATACGCTCCTGCCGAAGTGTGGATTGGTGCATTGTGTAGCCCAATACATGCATTTGAATTGTGTTGCTGCAGAGCAGAATGAGCAGATGCCTTAGCTTTTATAGCGATGCAATTTAAAAGTTTTGAGAAAAAAGTCCTGCATAGATGAATGGGTACATAAAAATATTGAGCACCAAAAATTCATACAACTTCCCCATCAGATATCTAATGGTCTACCCCTTACCACATATATCTTAGGAGGCCAATTTTGTATATTTTTGTGTTATTTGCATCTCCGAAACTCCTACTTTTGTCCTACTTTTCTACACATTTTCCTACTTTATTCCTACTTTTCCTAAAATTCTAGTCCTACTTTTGTCCTACTTTTCTACAAAAGGATGCCAGAAAGCCTGCAAAAGCAATAAAGTTATAAGACACAAAGTATGTTTTATATGATAAATGGCACTACATGTATTGCAGACTTTTAAATAACGTTTTCTAGATTAAAATAGTGTAAATAAACATAACAAATTTCATAAACAGACTTTGGCATGTCGTCATCTATATAATCTGACTCACTTGCACCTTCAAATATTGTATAGATTGTTAGAAACAAAGAATGGAGATATTGGACAACATTCAGAATCGTCAAAAAGAACCACGATCAGCAAGCCCCTTGATCCTGCCTCTATTGATCCATTGTACAGATCAAGACTAAAGAAACAAGGGAAACCTCAACAAACATTTGCTATGAGTGATAAGAATGAGGTAAAACTATCAACACGTTTAGGGCAATTTTGTTTGTAGTATAGTGTTAGCTTATAAGCTATGTAATTTTATTAAAACTATTATTAATCTACCGTACTCGTGTTGATATCACTATGCATGTACATGTTTCTGTACTGTTCAAGACTCTACATTGCCGTACTTGCAGTGGCGAAGCCAGCCCGACAATTTGGTCATGCTATGCAAATATTTCCGTGTTCATACACCATGAAAACAATCAATTTCTAAAGAAATGAATAATGATAATGATTTGAAATTTGCATAGCATGACCAAATTGTCGGGCTGGCTTCGCCACTGCGTACTTGTCAGAACTATAGTGGAGTACTGGATTAACTCATTAAGTTGCATTGCACCCCAATGGGCCCTATTTTATTATTTTGCTTTCTCTAACGCCGGACGATTTTACTCGTCAAAGCTAGAGCGCTGGGGCTCAATGCCAATGGGTTAAATATAGATATCTCCCGAAAGTTTATCACATACTTTATATTTATTTATATTTTGTAGGAGATAATTCGTAATGGTATAAGGTTTCCGAAGAATTTAGTCACACCAAGTGCTGTATCGTATGTTCTACAACAACAACCAGGGAAACTTAAAGCCAAAGATGTTAGACAAGGTAAAGTAAATACAGTGTACCGGAGGTCCCCCAAAAAACTGGACACTGTTTGATTTCATGTAACGTAAAAGCTATAAAAGCTATCGCAACGAAATAAAGATCATTGCATTCAGAAAGGACTGACTTAGATTTTGATATATAACACTTGAATTTACATGCAATATTGGGCGAGATACAACCAACATAAAAATATTTATTATTTAACAAGTATAACTAGTACATCGATAATTATAAGGTTGTTTTATGCTAATTTTTGACATTTTCAAAATCAATAGTTCAAACATCAATAGCGCAGTCAATATTGCATGTAAATTCAAGTGCTATATATCAAAATTTAAGTTAGTCCTTTCTGAATGCAATGATCTTTATGTCATATAGCTTTTACGTTACATGAAATCAGACAGTGTCCACTTTTTTTGAACACCCTGTATATCCTGTATAGGTGGGTTTCACTAAACACTGTCCAGGGCTTTATCAAAGCACTTTTGCTGACCCCCGTTTTAGAAAAGAAGATTCAGTTTTGGTGACGATTTTGAAAAATAAACCCAGCTCAAATAACCCTGTTTCTCGGAATTCCAAAAACTATCAAGCGAGTGAAAATGATTTTTTATTGCTTTTTCTTTTCGTTGGGGAAAAGATTAAGTTTAAAAACTCAATCCAAGATTGAGTTTTGACTTCCGTTTACCGAAGGTCAGTTGGTGCTTGGATAAAACCCTGACTGTCGTGCAACAGATGATGATCAACTGGGGGTTATCAGTATGAAAGAATAATCAATGCATTTCTTTTCATTATAATGTTGTAGTGGACTTGTATTTGCTGCTCAGCAAATAAAAAATTGAGAGGTTTGGTTTAATTTTAATTAAACACAAAACAACAAGGACAATAGACACTTCGTAAATTGCATATTTTAATGTAATTTTTAACTCTACGTTTTAACTATTTATTTACAGTCATCTTCAGAGGAATACTCTATACAACCGTACATTTTGGGTTAATTCGCTTGCTCGAATTGTAACGCAAACTGTATATGTGTGAATTTGTAGTACGATTGAAAGTAGCCAAATAATTCAATTTAAAATCTCTAAAAATATCCACTTTGTAAAATACGTAAACATTGATTGGTGTATAGCGCAGTGAAGCGGCATACTATTCTTCACCTTCATAAAGTTTTTTCAGAGTTCACTCGACCCAGTCTTTCGCACGATCTGTATATTGTCGCAACGGGACGCAACCTCGATTTTGCGTCGGTCGGTTGTTTTTAGATGGGTGTCGGTCTGGATGTTTTGCGTTACAGCTTGCGCTAATTACTCGCTGGCGCACCTGTGCCCGGACGAGTATAGGTTTCGGCTTGCATTTGTCACGGATCACGGATCTCCAATCGTCGATAGCCACAAAATAGAATAATAATGAGCTGCTTGATCCTTTTCAAAATGGCGGGGCCTTTCGTGGAGTGGGCAAAATGTTTCAAACAATTCCGGGCCCCATTTCGTGAAACTTTTGGCCGAATTGTACCTGTTTTCTATGGATTTTGCTTTGTGTCTAACTCTGGACATTCATCCTAGTTTATTTAATGCGTTTTTCTTGGTGCACGACTCTGAAAATCCGAAATTTGGATCGTTGAATTCCCGTGCACGATCATAATATACCGAATCTGAATATAAAGGAGCCAAAGACAATTTCAAGGTAAAAGGTTATTCATTAAAACTACGTTGTGCAGTTTAAATTATAACTACTTTATGAGAAGCATATTGGTGTCATATCAATATAAAATTTATCGAACAACAGTCCGTGAAAACTGTCTGTAGTGTACTCAGTGCGAAACATGATATTGTATCTGTAATGCCTCTTATAAATGGCGCAATAAGGATAAAAATACGACCGTTCGATTCAGCGTAAGAAATTGTACTTACAGATGTAAATTGTATTACTAAACAGCAGTATTCTAGCGATTTATGGTCTTTGATAATCAAGCGAAATTGTATTGTTGACATCAAATCACTCGCAGTACGTTTGTCCTTGACCTTGTATTTGTATTGCCTAATTAATGGCGCAATAAGAATAAAAATACCAACGTTCGATTCAGCGTAAGAAATTGTACTTACGGATGGGAAATTGTACCTACGGATGTCAAATGTATTACTAAACAACTGACAACAGTATTCTAGCGATTTATGGCCTCTGACTTTGTCTTTGAAATTCAAGCGAAATTGTGTTATTTGTTGACAAATCGCTCAAATTATAAAAGATGCAGTACGTTTGATCCTTGATAACTGTGGTATCATTGGTTTTCTCTTTTTCGGCCGTACACCAGTGGATTCGTCTCACTTCTCTCTTCATTTTGATAATATTTTGAGCCCAAAAGCCCCCCAAATATTTTATTTTGAACGTTTTAAACTGGCGGCCGACAGAAGAATGTAGCGTACTATAAAATATAACTTTACTTGTTGGCATAAACGCCGGAAGTTTCCCCTTAGCTCGGGGCCAGGCTTAATTTCCACACCAGGCTTAATATACGCACGTAAAACTTTAAATTTGTAAAATAACCAAATAAATAAAGCAACAGAATTTACTGCTCCTCAAGTTTTAGTATGAATTTGTTAACTTATTTGTAAAATATTTAAAAATAGAAGGATTCAAAGTTTTACGTGCGTGTACGTGCGTACGAAAAACGCAACAGTGCCAGTGGAAATTAGCCTTTAGATCTTAACAGTAATGTGCGTCAGTTGTGTAGCCCCAGCGAGTTCACGCTCCACAGAGCGTCTTGTTCCAATTAGCAAACGTAATGAACGGATGTCGAAATTATTCAGCACGCGCGTATTATGTTTCCATTTGGTGGCGCTAATTATCTGAAATCTCACTGGACTAAATTGTACTTTCAAGAGCAATACGTGTAAAATGTATTTGCTTAAAATCATATAATCAAGGGCACAAACATTTAAATACTCATTCTAGTGAAGAGCCGTGCTCCTCCACGGGCGCCTTAATTTAAACAACACGAAATAGCCCCAATATATGCCCCGTCACAGAGGCCCAGTAGTTTTCCCGATCAATCTAATGAGAGCGTCAAGTTTGACGCAGCACTTTCTATGCGATAGTAACTTCTAGTATTACTTAGCAGTACATCGTACATAATATCCATACATGCACTGTTAATATTACAATTTTTGTATCCTACACAGTTGTACCTGGTGAAATTACAGGATTTTCTTCATCTAAAGATATCTTACTTAAATTGTAGTCGCATACTTGCACAATGTCGAGGTTGAAGGTTGCAGGCAGTTGACTGAAATGCAGAACTTGTAATTCTTCATATTTGTTCTGTTTTAGCTGTGAAGGAAAAGAAGGACATTCCACTTAGCACCAAACAACTTAAGGTACAACTTTAACAGCAGAACGTTCTTTATAACTGTTTTGTTTTATGGAAACACCACGTTTATTTATATTTGGCAAACCTTTCAATCCGTAAGCCCTTCACCATGCAAAGTTGCAAAACATTCTCAGCACAAAATTCCCATCAGTGCAAACGGGGCGCACACGCTACAATTTTAGCCGGTATGGTTTAGAGTCATGTTAATACAAGAAACAGTTAATCGCTTGATCTGTGGCCTCTCGCGTCTCTGCGTTGGTTTCGTTACACACCACACAAGTAAACCATAACTGGGTCGACCAAAATCGTAGCGTGTGCGTCCAGGTTAACGATAACAATTGCATGTTATCTCCTTTACTTCAGGAAACTGTATTTGAGTACAAAGTACAACAAAATATAACTGAAGAAAGACAGAATCAGTTAAGATGGTAAGTAAATTGTAGTATTTAATACACTGTAAGGCGAGACTTTTTTATTCATTGCTTTACGAATCCGCCGACCGTAAATATTCAGAAAGTGAAGAATAAAAAAAAAATTGATGTCAACAATTTTACGATTTTAGTTAAGTTTAGTTAATTTGGGATTCTGACATGAAGTACACGCCAAGTAAACTTTGACTCTAAGTACTGCGGCTCATGTTATCGTTGTGATCAGCGTTGCCAAGTCCAGGATTTTATCCCGAGATCTCGGGATTTTTTGAAGCAGTTGGGATTTTTATTTTAAAAAGTCAATCTCGGGATTTTTTTTGGATTTTTTGAGAAAGGGAAGTTCGAAATTTAGAAGTCAATAATTGACCAGTAAACAATTTTGTTAAAAACCAGGGTTCGTCCGCTCGTATTTAAACCCTATTGAGCTGCATATCTGATGTCAGATTTCGTTTTTACAACATGACGTACAAGGCTATCCCACTCGAAATTGGCGCGAAAACCACCTAAATTATAATGACGTAAAATAGTGTGAATATCGGGATTTTTTAGGGAATCTCGGGATATTTTGGGAGCTTAGGAACCAGTCAACTGCTAGGGTGGGCTGGAGTGATTTGGGATGGGCCATGGAAAATCTTTGAGCAGTTTCGATGGGCCGCCAATTTTTTGGCATGTCCACGGTTGGGTCACCAAAAAAAACCCATGTTAATTCTATATTATATAAAGATATTAATAATAAAAGTAAACAAAACTATCCAAATTATCAAATGCAAATACGATGCTATTGAAGCCAGTACTTTGTTTTATACAACAAGAAGAAGTGATCGAATCAGTGGTGATGAATGTGTTCGTCAAGCTTGGTGGAATTATGTATGTCAATACAGTGCCGGTGTATATTTACAATGTTCATACCTGCAAGTTTTTTTTGTTATAAAAGTGTATTTTCCCAATTTAGATTGGGTGGGTGGGTCATGAAATAAATTTAGCAAGATTAGATGGGCTTTGAAATTTTTATCTACATCCTAAGATGGGTCACCAAACTTATTGGCAAAATTTGTGATTTACCTCCAGCTCACCCTAGCAGTTACTTTATGACCAGTCCCTTACTTGGGATTTTTACAAATTGGCAACGCTGGTTGTGATAATAATGTGGAGATTAGCCATGTTTTTTCAAGTAGAAGTTAAATGTTTAGTACACGCGTTGAGAAAAATTGAGAAAATCAGCAACTTGTTCCAGGTTGATATCAACAGGCGTGAACAAGGTTGTGCGGCCCACTATGAACAGTATTGTCAACATGTTGTTACAGCATTGTTCAACTGTAACAACTTGGAACAACATGGTTGACAACTTGTTCATAGTTGGCCGCACAAGATTGTTCACGCCTGTCGAGTGTCGATATCAACTTGGAACAACATGTGCGTTTTTAGCCGTGTAGATAAAAACATCGATTTTAAATATACTCAGTGTTTTTTTTTAATTTTTTTCCGACCTACCGACCTGTTTTTTTTTAAGTCAAATCCGTAAACCAATAAATAAAAAAAGTCTCGCCTAAGTCGTAGCATGATAGTGAAACTAGAAGCTTCAGTTGATTTTGGTTGTGATGTTCTAGGTGTGTGAAATTAGGAGAAGATGAAATCTCACAACTTGAAAGAAATCGAATTTTAGAGGAACGTTCACAAGGTGAAAGGGAGTACAAGGTGAGTGGTAGGTACAAGTGCATGATGGCATTCTTGTGAATGATATAAACATGAAATTTTCAATGTAAATTTTTCTACACGGCAGCCTGTGTACAATATTATTATAATTGCAAGTACTCTACTGGAGGTGTAGGTATTCGATGCATGGGTCACGCTTTTCCACCATCGGTAGACATTTTTCAAAAATGTGACAAATCTTGAAAATTTCAGTGTACATTTTTTGTTACTAACTTTATCTGAACTTGCTGGAAAACTCATTATTCTCTAATTTCGATTCGAAATCTGGTATGACATATATTGCTATATGTAAATTTACGTATATCTCGCTGGATGTTTAGATACAAAGAGGCGATCCAATTGCTGATGTTGAATTTGATCGTTCAAGTACAAATTGCAGTCAACAAAGAATTCATCGGCAAGCAAACATGGTTAGTATATAACTAACAGTGAGATTCATACGACGGAATGTCGAAATTGGAATTAAAATCCATTTAAACAAAACAGTCGTGATATTAATATGGAATATCTGTTATAAATGGGAATCACTAAAAGCCACAAACTTGTTTCTAATCCTAATGCAATCCAGTGATTCCAGTCTATCTGATAGTTTAACTTTATTTTAGTCAGATTTGCGGACACTTCCAGGCAAAGCGAGTTTTGGAGTTAGCTGATCACTATATCAAATTAGTGGTGGTTGACCGATTGTGACAGATTACTATAACCAATTAGCTTGATTGCAATTATACAATCTATATACTCCCTAATAGTCAATTTATAAAAATATATAAAGTGTTTTCTGTTCCTACTTTTAGAACCCGGAGTATACAGCCAGATTTGATTTTTTTGTTAATGATGATTGGACAAGGAGACATCGAGTACTTAGAAGGTTTATACAAGCTGGACGAAAGGTATACAGTACCGTTTATTCTTTATAACCATGTACATTACATGTGTCGTTACAGTTCAGCATAATTAATACTTCATTACTGAACAATAGTTAGTATATATATGAATTCTTAGTAAAGGGTTTTGTCAATGCTATGATAATTCAATACAGTTTGGTCTTGGCACATGCAAAAATTATAATAAAACGGATTTTTCTTGTCAATTGCGCAGGTCATCGTACGACGTCGTGCTACCCGTTATCTTGAATCTCTACATCAGAATTTAACAGATAGTTTGCGGGAAGGATCCTTTTTCCAAAGCAGCGCACGTTTGTATCCTATTTGGTTTCTTTTCATCTTGTATTTCTTCCCTCCAAGTTTTCGTTTAGCCTTACTATTGGCTGATGTGGGGGAACCATGTGCACCCCATATCTTATATACAATAATACAATATCTTCTAATGGCCCGTTCCTAACTGTAAAATGTTAAAATGTATAATGCGACAAATAAATTATTTTAAAGGGAACAGGTATATCGCGTTTTTGAAAGAGTTGATTATGTAAACATCGATTTTGTAATTATGTAGGCACACATCGTGCGAGATCTGTTGATGACAACGTTTCAACAACTTTTCTATTGAAACCTCAAATGGTCACACCATTCTCGTTCCCCATGTTTGCACCTGCTGATGAGAAGGATGACGGTGTAAGTTATGTTTTGTACTCGCTATATACAGTACTTTTTATGCACTTATTAAATATATAATCATAATCAATAGAATGTAAGGTCTGGAACCTCGACAGAAGTACAAAATAACTATGTGTCGATTCTTGTCATGTGCGTCTTGTATTCGCCAAGTTAACCAACCGTGATGTCTAAATTACTACTTTTGGTCCGATTTTTACAGATGAGAGGCCAAACAATAGACAATTCCCATTATAGACTAATTTTAAAACTAGGCAAGGAGATGTAAATACATCATACATCGTCATCACCACAGCTAGAAAGAGCATACAAAAATGAGTAAAATTGCAAAGTTTGGTCGCGAAATGTTGTAAAATGCGGAAAATATAGTCTTGCAAAGTTTGCAAATTTTGTATACTTCTGTACTAATTTTAGTATGCTCTTTCCGGGAATATACTTTTTTTTGACAAGATAAAAAATAGTCTATAATGGGAATTGTCTATTAGTTGCCGTCGAGCAAAGATACATGTAAGACTCATGTGACGTGGAAGGACAAAATGCTTGCATAACCTACACCTATTGCAGATAAAATTTAGACAGCGAGTTCTACTGACCTTCCATCCTTGATAGTTGACTATCCATCCTTGTATTCTAATAACTGCATGTGTTTAAACACGCGACAAGTAAGATAAACCGCTATGGTGCCTCCTTGTTTTTTTTTGCAGATTGCAAATCCCATTGGAACGCTACCGGTAGAGCCAACTGTTGTTCATATAGAACCATACATTCCTTTTTTTAAACTAAAGGTAAGTTTTATACCATGTACCATTTAAAATTTAATGGAATGATGCACAAACATGTGTAGGCAATAATCGTTTGATTTCTTTACTTCCTAAGGTTCCTCAACAGTACACTTTACTTGGTTACAACCCTCATGGTACTCAGTTGTCCGTTTCTGGTCACACCCCTAGAAATGTTGCGAGACCTTTAAGAACCGGTGCAGAGGTGAGAACACTGTAGATGTTGTTTTTGTCGTCGTCCTCCTCCTACTCGCCTCCTCCTCTCCTCTTCCTCCTCTTTCTCTTCTTCTCTAAGACCTCTTCCTCCTCCTACTCAGTCTCCTCTTCCTCTTCTTCCTCCTCTTCATCCTGCTCTTCCTATTCCTCCTTTTCCTCCTCCTCTTCCTCCTCTTCGTCTTCTTCCTCCTACTCTTCCTCCTCTTCTTCCTCCTTTTCCTCCTCCTCCTCTTCTTCCTCTTTCTCCTCCTCCTCACTGTTATTAGTTGTTGTTGTTCTACCAAAACAATTCAGTAAAACCTGATATATATTTGTATATATATATATATATATATATATATATATATATATATATATATATATATATATATATATATATATATATATATATATATATATATATATATATATA